GAAAAACGTTTCACTCTTGTGAAGTGTTGCTACATACTAGTAAGTTTGTTTCAAACATAGAGGAAGCTCGAAATGAGGTAAATAGTTTTTATCTTTAAGTCAATTCAGGCGCTTATCCGGTGTGTTAATAAGGTAATTAAATGTCAGACTACAATCCTCGAGAAGTCCGTAATGTCCGTTAGACAAAAATGTCACTGTACGTCCATCTTCACGGTCCGTCGTCATAATCTCCTTTATTCTAAACTATGGTTCCGTATGTGCGACAAAGCTTTGAAGGGAAAATTAACATTTACAGAATCGGGTTATTGATGGTGAGACACGGATTTATGTCGGTAGGTTATTGTCCAAAACTCAGCTGAGGTCGAGATGAGAGTGGCGCATGAAAAAAAAAAAAACGTTAATGGTTTTTGTTTGTTTATTCGTTTGCTTGTTTTATTATTTACATTAATCGAGGTCTTGATCTTATAAAAATATTCAATATTGTTGTTGATATTAATATCAGGCCATGAGAACAAAACATTGTTCATACTTATCATGTAAATATGAAATCCTGCCAAAACAGTTTTAGACAGATGCTTTTAAATAAAGTTTTTGTTTTTGTTTTTTAAAGAAGAAGAACAAACGGCGACGAGAGAAAGCAACTTCTCATATGAATAAGTGAATATGCCCCCAATCCCCACACACACACACACACACACAGACAGAGAGAGAGAGAGAGAGAGAGAATCATGTGTGATGTAGGCGTGACTGGAGCCACAGGTTCAGTATAAAGTGAGCGTGAACTCTGGGATGAGAAACAGTACTGTTCCAGTGTTTTCTTTTGTTCGTTCTTTCCTGGAAGTGAGACATCATGAGAGTGGAAGGTGCGGAATAAAACTGCAGAGGCACTCAGGATTTTTACCAAGAAAAAAAAAATCAAGGTAACTCAGAAAAAACACTCTGAATTTGATATCCATGTTTGTATAAATGTATTATTTATTCTTAAAATCATGATATTTCCTGTCACGTTATACATCTCTGCCTGCCTCAACTTCAGTTCCTTGTGCAGAGCGATGAGGCTGGTCTGGGAAACTGTGGTTTCAGCGTTTTTTCTAATGTAATTTCTACTCCTGTCATTTGTTCTGGCTATCCACTCTTCTCCAGGACTAGCTGTGATGATGGAGAAAGCTGCACTGCTGCTTTGCTGCCTGATCATGACTTTGTCAGGCTCCCCACTCTACCCATCCATTAGGTAAGTCCTGACAAAATCACTCAAATTCATTAGGTGTTGTTCATTTCCATTTTCACTGAGGTTTAGGCATATTTTGAAAGTTATGTAAACCCTTTGCTTAGTTCAGCCGTTCAGCTTTGGGAATGCCGATCAATGACAGCATTGGATGATTACACAAAGGGAACATTTTTTGTAAACTCATGGCAAATCACACCAATATGCACTATATATGCATCATTTAGCTGAAATGTTTGGAAACCTCACCAAGTGACATAGAAAATTTTCTTAATATTCAAAATCTGAATTAAACATTAAATATAACATATTTGATCTCTGTCAGGATTAGAAAAATGGTCGTGTCGAAGCTCATCGAACAGTTGACTCTTTACTTTACATGTCATATCTGTGTCCTCTGTACTTCTGCTAAAAAGGGTCAAGAAGTCTGGATTAGTCACCGCGTTACGTTTACGAGGCATCATCGTCACAGTGTCGTGTACCAAAGCTGCAGATGTAATTTTTCACGCGCTAAAGCATTTTGCAGACTGATGATGTTTTCTTTTCTTTTAAATCTGTCATCTTTACAAAGACTCTGCACTTCTATGAAATCATCGTTCTTGCTAGATAAAGGGCTATGTTTGAATAATGGCATTTAAGATGTTCTGCATTCATATAGTTCATGGGGATGTTTCTCAGGTTCGGCCAGAGGGATACATCTATCCTGATGACATCTTCACTAAAGAATCCAGCAGAGCAGCAGGAGGAAGACGCACGTCCTCCCAGGGAGCCAGCAGAGTTGCGGTCCGTATGTTAATATGGTCTGAGTGGCTGATGTAAAATATGGCTCAAAGGCTCAGCTAATGAAACGTCCCAGTCAGAGTGGATCATTTACACAGTTTTTTAATGGGGATTCTTGATTTATTAGAAGGTACATCATTTTCAAAGATATGTCAAAAAAATACACACAGCTGAATACAATGCAAGCAAACATTGCACTACAGATAGTCTATGCTGGACCTAAATCTTTATATTTTGACCTTTTAGATATGGAGCTACATTTTATTAAAATAGTGCACAAAGTTTTCATTTATGAATTAATTATGAAATGTGGCTAAGATCGATCCACCCCATAATACAACCCGTGCTGCAAATATAACATATTTCTAATGTAAGATGGGGAAATATTGTTTTTCTACAATATTATGATTTCATTGCACATTACTTAAAATGGATTGTGCAGTGAACATGCACTTGTCATTACAGTATATTTTTTGGTTTCCTGTAAAAACTTCACTTGTTACTTTCTTATTTTGGTGTACTTACCTTTAAATATTTATAGGTAACCATGACTACATTGTAATTTCAAAGCAAATATGTTGAAATTCCATTTGATTACAGGGTAATTACACCTTTAGTTGCAGGCCGTATTTTAAAGTTTTACTAAATGTGTCTTAATACTTTGAACTTCCTTTGTTCCTTTAGTGTGGATGCATAAAAAGATGTGAGCAAATTGTAAATCGACCGCTGGCCAGCTCCCAGATAAATCCTGCCGCTGCACTGCAGTTTACTTTATTTTCTGCTTACACTGACTGAACTGATGCAAACTGTCCCCATTTCTGATTCCAGCTTAGGGCGCCACGCTGATGCCATCTTTACAAACAGCTACAGGAAAGTCCTGGGCCAAATCTCTGCCAGAAAGTTCCTTCAGACAATCATGGGCAAACGGCTGGGGTAGGTAACACAAGTGGAATGAAATCGCTCCAATGTGTGTGGGTTACCAGTACAAATAGCCAGTGAAAGAGGAATTATTGTTGGGTTTGTTTGTTTTTTTCCCCACAGGGATGGAAGTGAGAGCTACATGAAACGTCAGTCAGATATCTATGAGGGGACATACAAGGAAGACCTCACAGCCATCCAGAGAAATCAGAGATACAGGGGGGTGCACGGGAATGTCCTGAGACACAGGTATACATGTCTCCAATCTTTAAAAAGCCTAAACATTCAGAATTTGGCTTTTCCCACAACTGCAGATTCACTAAACTGAATCTTTTCTCTTTACAGACTGCTGAGTTGAGGAGGAAAGCTTTATCATCACATTTTTTTAACCATCTTTTATTTGTTTGAGGGTGTCCTTTAAAGAAAAGAAATCGTCTTATATATTCACATTAAAAGTTGTGAGGAAATCCTACAGCCTAGCTTATCATTGTGTGTGTGTGTGTGTGTGTGTGTGTGTG